GAAAATATTATTTTTGTTTTTAGTTAAGAAAGACGGCATTTGACAATAAGATACATTATTGAAAGATTATATAATCTGCTTTTTGAAACATTATATTTTTACTAAATGTAGTACCATTGATTTATGTGCATAATAAGTGTAAGCCAAAATAGCCAAGAAATACTTCCTAAGAGTAGATTTGAACAAATTACATAATTAGATATCAAATAAAACAAGAATAAAGAATTTACAATAGTTTGATTTTAAATATAAAACAATTTAGAAAAATATTTGAATTATAAATCCTGCAGACTAAACAACAGTACAAATTTATTATTGTAATGCAATGTCTGTTAAAAAGAGTCAATAAAACAAATTTGAAATGTTGCAAGTCAGGATTATGTTCATGAATTTCATTGTTGTAATTTATTATTTGTACTAACGGCTTCCAAAATGTTGCACAACTTACTTTTCTAGGTTACAGCAATGTTATCTCTCTTACTCAGTCACGATACTGCACAAAAGATTTTACTTGTTTAGTTTGATATGAAATATGAGTAAAATTTGACTAGTTGTATCATTAGCCAATGTTTTTGATGACTTAATCACTTCGTTAAACAAAAGATCTGCCATTAGGTTGAGAATAGTTAAGAATGCTATTAACCAATCAGAATGCTACATGGTCATGCTGGTAAAACCTAAAGCCTGAACTTGAATCTGAATCGATTGTGACCTCTGCTTTTATCACTGTTTATAGGCCACTATCACATTGTACGTCTAGGTCAGGCTTTTACTCTAGCAGGATGCATGCTGGTAGGTAGATAATTATAATAATGTCAACGTTTCTGTGGTGGTCGCTGAGTGCCGGGCGAGCAGACGAACACTGACCAATATAGTGATGGCCTGAAGTATATGTATCAATATCCACCCCTCCTAGTATTGATGGGGGGGGGGGTAATAGGGTAACCTTCTATTTCAAATTACTTGATGAGAAACTGGCTGCTCATAGTTACGAATATTGCACATTTACAAACACTTAATCCATGATGCCTATCATACAAATTAACGATACTTATACATGAAAACAAAATAGATTTCTCACCTGTTCAACTGATAAGACTTCAGGCACATAAAACTGTAACATGTTCTGCACCCCACTTTTCAAAGTCACCACTGAACTGGGACAACTTGTACATGAACCCTGCATCTTTAGCTTTACAATGCCTTTCTCAAAGCCCTGTGGAAGAAAGCACAAGTGATAGGAATTGATGCAACAAACAAAAAACAATTCAAGAGCACAGCTGTTCTAGATATTAGGAGAGGTTAGAATACATTAACTACTTAAAGCTACAAGTTTTATTAGATAGTAAATAAAAATAGCTTGAAATTTCAGGATAAAATGATCCAGCTAAGTGCTTCCCTATATTTTCCAATCACGTATGAAACCTGCTGATCGCACGATGATGAAAGGAAACATCTTGGAATCTTCTAAGAACAGTCCTGTTCTACAACATGCAAATTTTGTGTACACTATTTAGATCTAGAATGTGCATTTCTATGTGAACTGAGTTTATAATTGCTATAAAAAGCCCACTACAGACCATGATACTTTGCAACTGTCACATTAATGGTAAAATAGTGTGATTGCTATCATAATGACACATGACGAGAGTGCAGACAGCTAATGGTAGGGATGATGGTATGATGTGGCACATGTATCTACTGTGGAAAATTAAAGTAACATGTGAGAACTTTAGACTTAAAGACTTTACAACAAATACAGTTGGGTATGGTAGTGTGCTAGAGGCTCTTTGCTGGGTGATTTTAAGATGATTTTAACACAATAATCTGACATACTAATCATTGGTTGTCAGTTATCTTGTGTCATAAATAATTGTTTATAAAGGGCTCAAGTAGGAACGTTTTTAACGAGGACACTACTAGAGAAAATGTAATAGTATGCTCCCTTTTTTGGTGTTCAATATTAACTTTAAATATCAACAGCAACATTAAAACACAGTGAGCAGTGGTCCTTTAATCAGTTTTTTTTTAAACAAGGGAACAGGGGCCCTCATCCTGTCTGATAGTAATTTTGGTCCTAAGGAAGCCATAGAATGCTTAATTTTAACTTAGAATTATCAAAAACTCCACACCCTGGTTGGGAGAATCCTATCTCCCTCACTTAGTGGCGCCGCTGAATTGCAGTAAACCCCTGCTCACCATATAAACAATATCACCACCATCTTCTTGTACTGTAGGCCTGATTCTTGTGTCGAGTAACTCTTTTATCATAGCCACTGTTTCATCATCATCAGGATGAATTTCTGGAAATCAAAGACAGAGATTATTGTGGCTACCAATCTATTCACAAATTAACGGCAATAAAACTAGTAACTTGGTCTGATAATGACAAAAACAATATAATAAGTACATGTAATGTCAATATTGGTTTAGTTTCAGACTTATTTTTCAATCACGCAATAAGTCTAATACAAGCACAGGTCTGCCATACCTCTAATACAAGCACATAAAAACCAAATATTGTATTTATTCAAAAATGATTAAAATATGACTTATTTTGACCATAGAAATTTACATGAAGAGAATGTTCTACTAGTAAGAGGAAACTTTTCTATTGTGATATTTCTGCAAATTATCTGCTACTGTTATTATTTATATAGTAAACTGATTTTGAAATGTATAAAGTAGTGACAGCAAAGCACTTCAGGAACCAATATTCCAGTGAATACTGCCCTCTAGCAATGAAAGTACTTCATCACTAAAGAGTGCTTCATCACTAGAGCATTTGACTAGCAGCAAAGATGCAGGTTTGAGATTCATTGGACTTGCCTGTATCTGCAGAAGGTTGTTCGTCAGTGAGTATGGGTAAACCAGTAGCGAAGAAATCCATTACTGCAGCATACACTTCAGGTTTTATGATCTTCCACTCAGAGTCATCATCATGTTTTGTAATTGTAATAAAATCTGGACCCAGGAAGACACTTTTAACACCATCAATGCGAAACAACTGTCTGCGTACAGAAATTGATGCACATTTATTAGAATCACTTTATTTTACTTACAAGAATATTGAGAATTGCAAGGCTTGAAATTTGGACTTGGAGGGAGAGAAGATCTATTTCCAAAACCCAAATTGATAAAATAAGCTTTGGCCTTATAATATTAATATTGGCAATGTCAAGGCACCAAGGAAAACTTATCAAGCAACAGGCAATTGTCTTTGATGCCTCTGTGTGGTACTAGACCTGGAATTGAGTACATTTATAATATACCGGTAGTTCAATGTGACCGCTGGTAGTATAAACGTGAAAACAAATTTTCCCCACTTATCTAAGGCACAATTAAAATAGAAAAAAAAGCCTAAAACATGACACTTACTTTTTTGTTGCATTAAGGACACTATTAAAGTAGTATGTCTTTCGATTCAAGTTTTGCATAGGGAAATATCCTTAAAGTTAACATGGAAATTAGTAGCTTTTTGTGTGATTTTTGTAATTATTGATATGACATGGAACATGCATGTCTATCATGCACTGTTACTATAGGCAAATCTGAGACAACTGCATACTACTACTGAATCATCTGACTATTAGAGCTTTGGATTGTTTGGGGCAATTTAAATTTACTTAATCTGGTTATTCTGATATGTAAGCAATTAATACATCTTTCGAGCACATAACAAAACTTACACCAAATCTTGAATAAGTGGAAAGACTAATAAAATTAATTTCAACACTGAGCATTAAAAATCAAATTCCCAAAAAATTAAATATTAAGTGGTATACTTGAAGTCTCTAACATTATTACACTATTCCACTATCTAATAATGTAATATGGGGGGTTTTGGATGGGATGAATGAGCAGTTGTGTATCTATTATGCTGGAATCTTCATATTTAGCAATCTTTCTTACAGTTACTTATTGAATTTAATTATTGAAATTGGTTTTTGTGGAATGAAATTTTCAAATACGGTAAATGTCCTGTAGCATAAATTAAAGCTACACTACCTTGCTAGTGGAGATCCATGTGCCACTCTTGCTGTTGGGAAATCCATTGTTCCTGAACCCAACACTGGCACACCGGGGATGAACTTTAAACTGTTTGGATTTGGTGTTTCATGCGTCTGTATAAACATGGATCTCACTGAAAAACAAAAATTTACGACATCTTGGAACATAAACATATTTGATTGAGAGGGAATAACATGTTAACATAGCTGAGCATGAAAACAATAAGCATTGTGTTATGTTCTGTCAGGCAAAGCAAAAAACAAATTATCAACAAATGTTGATGATTTAAAATTTTACATGTACATTCACACCAGGAAAAACCTAATTTCCATTGTTACCCTCAAAAATAGTTTCAGAAAATAAACTAGACAAGCTATATTTTTCTTAGAATGAGAAGGATTCAGGTGTGATTAAACATTTTTTTTTCTGTGTTTATTAGATTATGAAAAGTCTTTGGTGTTTGCAATCTCACATGTAGGTAATCTGCCCTGGTAATTTATTGTTCCATTTGCACAGTTTTGCTGTATTGAACTATGCCAAATAATATAGATAGTGTCTTGAGTAACTCAACCTTGCATAGATTGCTAATGCTGACCCTGCATCCTTTTAAGGCTAAACTGGAATGTGGTCACTGAAGGGTACTCATATCCTGGTTCTTAAAAATCAGCCATACTGGCATACAGGTACATCGCCATTTTGCCATGTCTTGTATCACTTAATAAATATATTCTCTTCACAATTCAACCAGTTAAACTGCAAGGCATTGAAATTATTTGCTCTCATCAGGGTTTTTTCTAGAAAAAATGAACAAGAGGAAGCACACACAGGCGATCGACCTGGAAACTCCATATCAGAGTAATTTTAGTGTATTTGGTGTCCAGACACATTGTCAGCTGGTGTTTTCACAGAGAAAAATATATTTGAGAAAGATTGCATGTTGTGCGGCAGCACAGAAGTGCACGGTTCAAGAAATATATTTATGACTTGAAAGATCAATCGGCAATTAGGTAAGAGG